GCTGTGCGTGGGGTTATCGAGAAAAGAGAGATGGAATTTAGCCTCCTTCTCAATTCTATTTTATCTTTCTGGACGGATACTGTCTTCTAACCTTTAATTTTGCATCTCATCCTGCGTTCACTTGTGAATCATTCCGGAGCAAAGTTGCGGTTGCCACAGTTCCGAGACCACTTTACGCCAAAGGGGTGGCATCACAGAGCCTCGGCAACTTGGCTTAAGAGCGAGCAGCCAGTTCAGGAGCAGAATAAAGAAGATTCTGGGCAAAAACTGTATAGTGAAGTCATGAAAATGTGTAGATTTCAATTTATGTAAATAAATAAATACATAAATATACAAAAAGACGAGGTTCTGCTCGTTTGACCCTGTTCTCGCGTCCTGGTGTGTTTTTGGGAAAAGAGCCGAATAAGTTTCTTCTTACTGCTTCCTTTCTCATCGTCGTCATGTCTTTTACGATCATCGAAACGCCGGCCAAATATAATCACCGGCCTGGAGTCGACCGGAATGGATGGACACGAAGCATGCTTTTACTAAATATAAATAGCATCCTGGATTGCAATGACAAGTGCATGCTTACTCCATCAACAATCTCAATATGAAATGTGATTTCTTAATGGCTTGCCATAAAAACCGACTAGTCCTCCTGTCCCTTGTGTTGCCGAGGGACGCAGCCGATCCGATCTCGTATTCAGTGTGGGGATGTGGACGAGACCGGTGTGATGCAAAAACTGCAATTCGGATGGGATGAGAACACGGATTTCGGAGGCAGGGCCATGTGAACTTCGACTGGCTTAGTACGTAGTAGTCGATCCGTCTTATTTTGATAAAAACATACTTTTGGTCTTTAACTCAGCTTTAGCCACCGAACGGCCACGGAATTCGAGGTCAATTGAAGACGTTTCGCTGGATTTGTAATGGGCCTTCTTCCGTTGCATGCAGTGGTACTGAGCTTGGAAGCGAGAGTGGAGACAAGTGGGTTCGAGTGTGTGGGTGAAAGTGTGAATGAGAGGAGAAGTGAGTGGGAGGTAAAGGGTGTGGGCGAATGCTGAACGGATGTGGGGACGAGGGTGTCGACGAGAGTGGAAGTGAAAGTTAAAGAGAGAAGGGTAACAAGGGTGTGGACGAGTATGTGGCGAAGGTCTAGATGAGAGTGGTTATGAGATTTGAGGCGAGTGGAGGGAATAGGGTGTGGGCGAGAGTATGAATAGGTGTCGGAGCGGGGGTGTGAAGGATAATAGGATTGAGAGTGAGGTGAGTGTGAGGACGAGGATGGAAAGCAAAATAGGAGTAAGAGTGAAGGCGAGAATGGTTGGTGAGTGTGTGAATTAGTTATGGAGCGAGAATATGAACGAGAATAGAAGTAAAAGTGAAGGCCAGTGTGTGAAATAGAATGGAA